AGCAGGCGGGCGCTTCTCTGCTCCTCGCAGTGCTGAGCCCGCAAGAGGCGGCGTGTAGGAGTGATGTCTCCCAGGCGCTTGTGTCTCTGGTAGCTGGATGGGGGCCCCCGGGCTTCCTCCCTCTCCCCCGCCCTTCGTGGGCACCAGAGAAAGGCGGCGGTGCCCTGCCTGGGGAGGCGGCTCCGGTGAGGAGGTGGGTGTCGACAGGGCAGGGCCTGGGGGTGTAACCGGCCCCCCTGGCCCTACGCGACTGTCTTGCCTGCACCTTTCGGATGAAATCCCGGAAATCCCACGCAGAAGCAGCGATACAGAAGGTTATGGTTCACAGTGTCAAGAGTCTCTGCTCTGAAAATCGTAGGACCGTGAGGCGGGAAGGGAGATGAGGAGCGTGCCTGCCCTGCAGAGCAGCGCCAGCTTGCTCTGGAGAACTGCTTCTATTCCTGTTTCTTCCACAGAGATCCTGTGCATGTTATGTGAGTCATCTTAACTGAACTTTTCGTAGATGGTCACTAGTTACTCATTCCTCATTGCCCGCATATCCATCTGGAAACACTAGTACCGAACATTTAATGTTGCAGCAGAGCACAGGGGACTGCCTACGTGAAGGGTCATCTAATTGCTTCGGTTTACTGCAAACTCAAGGCACGGATCTCTAAAACTAAGAGGCCGAAATTTTGCAAGGTTTTTTCTCTTTTTTCCCCCCATCTATGAAATTGCAATAAAGATACTCCTTTGCAACCCACTGTAACATGCTAATCGATTCTGTTTCCTAATAGAATAATTTCCTAATCTGCGTAGATGGCATAACTAGGAAAGCTTACTGAGAATTTAACAATTCTGTATTTAGAGTAGGGTTCGAATAATGTACGATAAATGAAACATAGGGCTTTCATAGGTTAAGAGGTCTCGTTGGAAAAATGGGATATGATCATGTAATGAAAACTAAAGGGAATGAATTGAGACAGCTTAATTCTAGCACTTTCTAAAGTTTCAATAGGTGTCCTTGTGCACCTTAAGGTCTTTTAATACAGTAGTGGAAAATTTTTGCACATGCTATTTTAAAGATGTTAGGGTAAGTCACTTTACTGCTTTCAGCACCCTATTTGAGAATGTTTATTCTCTTAGGCCTTCATCAGAGATACATATTATAATCTGCTGATATGCTTAACAGTTTCTGAATCATTTTAGCTCTGCTGTGAATTCTGGATGTTCAGCCTTCTTTTGCCTCTCCCAGCAAAAGAGCAGCAATAATCTCTGATGCTGCTCTCCCACGCTGATTCAGGGAGCACTAAACTCTCCTAGCGATAATGCAGAGTTCCAGAATAAGCAAAGTAATTGCTTATCCTTTGAATGCATTAGACTTAGGAACTCACTGCTTTCTAGAAATAGTGTTCATACCCAAAAGACCTAAATCGTTACTGAATAATATCTAGAAAGAATTTTCTTTTATGGGCCAGAAAGTGCTTCAGAAAACCAGCTTTCATAATCCTCATATTTGAGGTAGGAACATTTAAGCCTTTAGAAAAACAAAGGTAAATCCACAAAAGAACTGGGCACTGCAATGTCAAGTGTCAGAGTATCTACAATATCTAAAGGGTCAAAGCTCTTTATATATTAAATCACAGAAACGTAGTCGGAAAGGCCCATGAAAAGGTCTAGTTCACTGGTGACCTTCTTTCTTTGCAACCTCTGGTACAAGTTTCCTCCCACCTCTACTAGAGGATTAGCTGCCTGTATAGAAAGGATCAAAGACTTGGCTCTGATAATGACGTAGCTGTGTAAATTTGACCAAGACTGCCAAGAAAGAGCCATGAGAACATCTGTAGGGAGATGAGAAAGTTAAAACTACAGTCAGGTGTACAGTTGTTGACATGGGATTGTTGGTAGTTCAAGGATTCAAGAGAGAAAGCACCAGCGTGAAACGTATACAATTCTAAAGGGAAAGTCACCCCGGGGAGGCTAGTCAATCTAGATGGGGACCAGCTGGGAATGGGTGTGTCATGTTGTCAGTGTCAGTGGGGCTGATGGAGGACAGCTGGCAGAGGATCCATTCCAGGGATCCACAAGGCAGTATCATTGCCCTGCAACTGCACACAGACCTCTAATGCCTCCTATTTTTCCCTGTTCTGTGTTCGTTAGTGCACAGACACTTCAGGTGAGCACTCCCTGCAGCCTGAAACCTGGAGAGCTGCATCCTCCCTCTTGGAATTTGGTCTGAGTAAAGTCGTCCGATGTGCCGGGGTAGTTACTTCAGTTGGTGCTAGAGACTGCGCCCTGTGGTGTGTCACCAGCGTTGCTGAGCACAGAAACACTGCCCTCAGCAGTTTCTACTCCTGTGCACCCTTCTGCCCCCAGTACCGCCACTGTTGGCTGCACTCTGGGAGCTGCACTTTTATACAGGCCTCTCCCTAGCAACTTCTGTGCTTGACCCTCTCTAATCGGGAGTCAGCTGGAGACAAAAGTTCAAAGCACCCCTTGATCAGGAATAGCTAACAGAGCTCATTAGAGGCTGGTAGAGCTTGCTAGAAGTTAAGGCCTCCTGTAGCTATCTTCAGCAGCAGGCACCCTGAAGTGCTTCAAAGAGTTCCCAGGAGTCCTCCAATGATTCCAGAAGGAATTCCTATAAGATCCAGAAGCAGAGCATGGAAACTACTGTGTAAACTGCTGTGTCTGTTGGATGCCTCTGTTAACTGTGCTCATTTAGTCAAGTTTCTGGTCTCTTTGTTTGCTTTCTGCAGACACTAATATAGGCAAGTTTCATTAGCAGGAACATTCAGGTGAAGAGTTTTGATTTTATGCTTTAGGAAGGCAACTTTTGAAATGAGTACCGTTCAGGAAACCCACAGTATCCTATTATACTTATGTAAAAAGCGTTAAATGGCAGTGTACCAAAACTTTGGATTTTAGACAGTAAGTCCACAGAACATATAACATTAGCAAAAACACAGCAGCACTGTTTCGAAAAATGAATGCATCAGATCCATTTGAGGTTAAGGCTCAT